ATTCGTTTGTTGCTCCTCCCTACAATTGATGATTAACTTACATCGTAACAAATTTCTGCAAAATAAAGAAAATAAATTGCGCTTACCTTCATGTCAACAAATTGTTCATCTATATACGGTTTGCCACCATTTTTATCTACAACCTCATTTACTAAGTCAAGAAGTTGCTTTCCTTGTTAAGATTTCTGGACTTCATCTTTTGTTTTGTTATTAAAGAGAACATGTCGGTTCCCACACATTCTCAGAGTTTCCTATGTCAAAATGATAAACAAATAATTAATTACGAATTATGGACAATATTCTTAGAAAATCAAGGGAAAATAAATGACAAGCCGCATGGTTTAATTTAGGGATGTGAACGAGCCGAGCTCGGCTGTTTTGGCCGGCTCGAGCTTGAGTCCATGTTGCCGAGCTCGAGCTCATCGAGTTAATTTTTTTTGGCTCGAGCTCGAGCTCATTTAGTTTTTTTTTTTTTTTATTTATATTATTTTTTTTAATTAAAAATCATTTTTTTATTAAAAATTATTTATAAGAAACTAAAAAAATTATAAAATAAATAATGAACTCTAGTTATATTTTTTTAATTTTTCTATTATTATTATAATATTTTATATTATTATGAGTTATCTAAGAAATATAGATTTGTTTCTATTTAAATAGTAGAAATATTTATTATTATAGACTATTTAGTTAATAATATATATATATATATATATATATATATATATATATATATATATATATTTAAAAAGTTAAAAAAAAAAAATAATGCAGCTCGCGAGCTGTCGAACAACTAAATTTGGGCTGGAGCTCGAGTTCGAGCCGGCTCGACTCGTTTACCACCCTCTAGCTTTAATTCATAAAATCCATGTTTAGAGGTAAAATAATAGAAGACTTAAACAGGTAACTACAACAAGATCTTCATAGCAAAATGGTATGGCATGGGCAATTTCTTAGTGAGCAAACTTGGACATGTTAATATGTCCGGATAAAATAAATTAAATATTAGGAGACTTAATGGAAGAGCAATGAGAGGTGTACCTTATAGTGTTGATCGCAATTGCGGCCCAAGTAATCGTCAAGAGTCTCGTCATCTTCAAGATCATCACCACCGGTGAAAACTACAATCATATAATCAATAATTTTAGGGCCAAAAAATGCCTGTAACATCGAAACACCAGCTTCTTCTTCTTCTCTCGAAATGCGAGTTCTAATTGATGCCACTAGAAGAATAGCATGGATACCACCCTTTGCCATATTGATGCATTTGGCAATTTCCTTTCGAATAAATTGAGGTTCAGCCGAACAATCAAATAATCCTGGCAATTGCAGTTAATTCATAAAGTAAAAGTCACACATGTTTACACTTGTCTGCAAAAAGATTCTAAATTAATACTACTAACATGCATATATGTATGTACCTGGTGTATCAATCACTGCAAGATTCTGCCCGTTTTCCAGTAAAGTAGTTGTATGCATCTCACAAGTGCTGGTGATACGAGTAGAGCTCGACATTGACTTGAATGCCTTTCTTCCAAGTAAACTATTCTCTGTTGCACTTTTCCCATTACCTGTTCTTCCAACCAGTACTATAGTCTTAACCTCGCTTAATGAAGGCGGTGCCATTTAAATTAAGTCAACTTATCTGCAAAAAGACCAACAAAAACCATACACAAATTGAAGCGTTTGCGAGTGTGAAAGAATCAGATAACTGCCATACATAATCGGATGGTTATATTATCAAATCAACGAAAGAAAAAAGTTAGGAATTTCTTACATTGAAAACAAGGAGAAACAAAAGTAAAGAGGAGAAAATACACTAGCAAGATATTTTCCTAATCCGTGGATACATTTTCAGCCATTAATAATGATTCCATCAGCATCAAATGTGCTAATACAATAGACTTGTGGGCTCTCTGTACTGGGAAAAAACAACAAGGAATTGTTGTTGACTTGATCTCATATAAAAAAAGAAAGACATGGGCAATGTTATTTTTTATAAAAGTTGTCGTCGTTTTGCCAAATTGACCCCGATGAATAGGAACATCAAGCAAGCAACAAAGATAAATGAAAAAATTCAAGACATACTAACATGGCTACTATGGTTTTGTTAATAATTAGTAGTGGGTTTCACGTATTTGACATATTTTTAATTACCTTTCTTCTAGTCTTCTTATTCCTTCTCTCTTTGGTCTCTCTCTTCAACAAGTGCGCCAAAAGTAGGTTTTTTTTTTTTTTTTTTTTTTTTTTTTTTTTTTTTTTTTGTGAGCAAGGTTGGTTGCTTGGGGTTTCATTCCAAAACAATTGTCACATATTTTTTGCTTCAACTTCAGCGGCAACTTATCTTGGAATCGGTTGCTACATTTAAGTGGTGTTTGCAAAAGTTTATTTAAAAGCAGAAGTTAGTGATTGTGAGTTAAGATGAAATTAAACGCTTAACTCTAAAAGTTGGGGGTGTTTGCAAATTAGCTAGAAAATCAACTAAAATAAAAAAAGCTGGTTTATGGGTGCTTTTAAAATTATAGCTTAAAACAGCTATTAGCGAGACTCCCCTCATTATTTTTTTAATAGTATTAAACATAGAGAGAATTACACTTTTGGTCCCTCTTGTTTGACCCGATTTCACTTTTGGTCCCCCTTGTTCCAAAGTAAACAAAGTTCACCTCCAAGTTTCAATTTTAAACACTTTTGGTTCCTGCCGTTACATGTCCGTTAGCAAGTAACGGAAAACACTATTTTGGGGTGAATTTTACAATTTTGAAATCTTTTGGGGTCGAAAATAATTATAAATTGAAAATGGACTACTTATAATTTTTAATAATAAAAAAAGAAATTAACGAAACAATTTATTTTTAATATACTTAATATTATTGTGAATATACTACTGATAATTATTTTTTTAATAATAAAAAAATTATACTAAACTAATTATTTTTAATCATACTTAATATAATTTTTAATTATACTACTTATGATAAAAAAAAATTAATAACAAAAAAAAAATTAACTAAACAAATTATTTTTAATCGTACTAAATATTATTATAAATGTACCTCTTATACTTATTTTTTTAATAATAAAAAGTTTAATTAATTAAACAAGTTATTTTTAGTTATACGTAATATTATTTTTAATTAGACTACTTATAATAAAAAATAAATTAGCTAAGAAAATCATTTATAATTATACTTAATATTTTTTATTATTATACTACTTATAATTATTTTTTAATAATAAAAAAGAAATTAACTAAATAGTGCGTTATACTTAATATGAGTTTTCATTATAATGCTTAAGATTATTTTTTTAATAATAATAAAAAAAAAACTAACTAAATAAATTTCATTATACATAATATTATTAAAAATTTAATTATAAGCCGTCTATTTTAAATCTCTAATTATTTTTCAGCCACCAAAAAATTTAAAATTTTAATTTTCACCAAAAAATAGTGTTTTCCGTTACTTGCTAACTGACATGTAACGGCCGGGACCAAAAGTGTTTAAAATTGTAACTTGGAAGTGAACTTTGTTCACTTTGGAATAAGGGGGATCAAAAGTGAAACCTGGCCAAACATGAGGGACCAAAAGTGTAATCCTCCCATTAAACATACTTTGTTATTTGCATTTGAGAACCTCCTAACATCTCATAACCCCATTTTACCCTCACAGTATTCCAATTCCCCTTCCCTCTTACCCACTACCTATATATGTTCTGTTTTCTATCATTTTTTTAATAAGGGGAAATTGACTAAGCACCCCTTATTCTAGACTTATATAGGTGGGTGAAGATCCAATGTGTTAAATGAATATAGGTGTAGGTCCATTGACAAAAAAAAATAATATAAATTAAATAATCTTACAAGTTATTAGATATAAATACCCTCAGACTATTAATTGTTTTATGGGATTATTTCACAAACCCCCTCATATGCACTGTCCAATTAAGAGAGGTCCAATTTTTTTTTGGAGAAATTGGCTAGACACCCTAATTTTGGACTTATATAGGTGGAGGTCCATTCTATTAAATGAATATAGGTGTAGATCCTTTGACCAATAAAATAAACTAAAATTATTAGTGTATAGACATAAATATCCTTTAATTAATATTTATATGTAAATAGTTATTTTGGAAATTGAGGGAACAAATCCCACAAATCTCTCTCTTTCTAACACACACGTAATATATATTTCTCTCTCTCCCCAACCCCACCCCACGCCTCTTCATCTATTTCTCTCTCTCATACATCGTTCTCTCTCTTAAGCAAGTACTTAAATTTAGTTTTCAATTCTTGTAAAAAAAACTTTTATTTTATTTCCATAAATATCTTATAGCAATCTTCATTAATCAACTTTCTTGAAACCGTATACTTTTGAATATTAATTGTTACTTTCTATTTTTCGATGGTATTGCATTTTATTTATGTTTGCATTTTCTAACTGTTTTTATCACTGCAAACAAAAAAAAAAAAAAATTAACAATCAAAATAATTTAAATTTGAAATATATAATAGAAAACTGCAAATTGCAATTTATAACTTAAAATAACATAAACAATAAATAACAACGCAAATAATAAATAATAAACGGCAAACACAAACAATAAACAACAAACACCAAACATAGTAGACACAAACAATAAACAACACTGCCCCTAGTGTATTTTTTACTCGAGCAATATGAAATAGTTTCAAAACACGAAATACAAATAAAAGACGTTATAACAAACACCAAAAAGCTAATTTTTGTATAGAAGCAAATTAGTACGTTAAGTACAAAATACTTCAAGATACAACTTTTTTGAACACATTTAATGTGGTGTTCTTTGAATTTATGTCGGTTGAAGATGTGAACAAGTGAAACGAGGTTTGAGAGAATATTGTGGGATTCATGGATCTTCTGTAATAACTTGTTCCGTGAGGACTTTGTTTGCAATCTAATTTGCTCTTGTTTTTTCTCCTTTGGAAGACGTCGAAGAGTCATTTAATGCCTTGTTTTTTTTTCTTTGACGTAGCTGTTTTAGCTCATACAAAATAAAACGAAATAAGACTTTCAATTGCAAACAATAAATTGCAAAAACGAACAAAAAATAGCAAATTAAAAACAATAACTGCAATTACAAACAAGGAATTCAAAGTGTAAACATGTAACTGCAAACAAGAAAATTTTAAATAGAAAATTACAAATAAGAAATTCAAAGTGTAACAAGCAACTGCAAACAAGAAAATGATGGTTCAATTGTAAACAAGTAACAAACTGCAAACACATAGCAGGCCACATGAACATCTACAAAATAAAGAAAACAAGAACAACAAAATGCATACCACAAGAACAACAAAAAAAACAAAAACACGATGGTTCAATAATGCACAATAAAATGCAAATTTCAAATAGCAACACAAACGACAACAAATAAACATCAACAACCGACTGAAAAGAAATGCAAACAAGAATGTAAAAAATACGGTAAACAATCATACTAAAATATATATCGAAACTTTAAAACGTGTGAATAATTACGTCAGATCGATGCTCCAATATCAACATTTAATTTCCTTGAGATAAAAATACCGACAATGGATCATTAAATCATCATCAAAACGTCTAAGAAATTAGAGAAATAAAAAGGAATTAATTACCCGGACTCTTACGTTCCCGCACCATGTTGTTTGATATTAAAGTTCTTCGATTTGGCGTTACGAGGATGACGAACAACAAACAAACAAATCTAGGGTTTTTTATTTCATTTAAAAAACAACAAAACATCAAAGGAACGATAAACAACAGCAAACGAACACATTTTTTTGTTGTTTTCTTCTTTTGCGTAGGAGAAGATGAAAAAAATATAAAAGCGTATTTTGGGATTTGAAGATTTGCAACGATGTTTTCTCCGGAGAAAAAAATGGGATTAAAATCTCTATAAAATGGACTATTATTTGGAGATTTTTATTTTCCATATTTTATTAAGGGTATTTTAGACACTATAAAAATAATAAATACAATAAAAATAGGGAATTAGTAGTTGAATTTATACATATAAAATCTCTTATAGAAGGACCTATAGCAAATTACCCCTTTTTTTTCCCTTATCAAGATAGATCCAAAATATCTTTTAATTAAGGGGCAATTTGCTATAGGTCCATCTATATTATAATATGTGCATAAATCCAATTCAAAATTTAATGTTTTAATAAATTAATAATATTTATTATGGCAAAAATACCCTTAATTAAATCAAATCAAATCCTTAAAAATCTCTCCATCAAAACAAATTCCCAAACATCTCTCTTCCAAATATTAACTTAAACAAATAAATTAATTCATAACAAAAATATACAATT